GCGGGGTCCCACAAGGGTCAGTCCTAGAACCAGTGCTATTTCTGGTATTCGTGAACGACATGACGGAAGTGATAGACTCCGAAGTGTCCCTGTTTGCAGATGACGTGAAGTTGATGAGAAGAATTCATTCTATCGAAGACCAGGCAGAACTACAAAGGGATCTGGACAGGTTGCAGACCTGGTCCAGCAATTGGCTCCTGGAGTTCAACCCCACCAAGTGCAAAGTCATGTAGATTGGGGAAGGGCAAAGAAGACAGCAGACGGAGTACAAACCTCGCTCAAGGAAAAAGATCTTGGGGTGAGTATAACACCAGGCACATCTCCTGAAGCGCACATCAACCAAATAACTGCTGCAGCATATGGGCGCCTAGCAAACCTCAGAACAGCATTCCGACATCTTAATAAGGAATCGTTCAGGACCCTGTACACCGTCTACGTTAGGCCCATATTGGAGTATGCGACACCAGTTTGGAACCCACACCTAACCAAGCTCGTAAAGAAACTAGAGAAAGTGCAAAGGTTTGCAACAAGTCTACTTCCAGAGCTAAGAGATATGTCCTACGAGGAGAGGTTAAGGGAAATCATCCTGACGACACTGGAGGACAGGAGAGATAGGGGGACATGATAACGACATACAACATACTGAGATGAATTAACAAGGTGGACAAAGACAGGATGTTCCAGAGATGAGACAAGAAGGGGACACATTTGGAAGTTGAAGACACAGATGAATCACAGGGATGTTAGGAAGTATTTCTTCAGCCGCAGAGTAGTCAGGAAGTGAAATAGTTTGGGAAGCGATGTAGTGGAGGCAGGATCCATACATAGCTTTAAGCAGAGGTATGATAAAGCTCACGGTTCAGGGAGAGTGACCTAGTAGCGATCAGTGAAGAGGCGGGGCCAGGAGCTTGGATTCGACCCCTGCAACCTCAACTAGGTGAGTACAACTAGGTGAGTACACACACACACACACACACACACACACACACACACATACACACACACACACATACACACGGGGCCAGGAGCTAAGACTCGACCCCTGCAACCACAAATAGGTGAGTACACACACACACACACACACACACACACACACACACACACACACACACACACACACACATACACATACACATACACACACACACATACACACACACACACACACACACACACACACACACACACACACACAGCCACAGAGTAGTCAGTAAGTGGAATAGTTTGGGAAGCGATGTAGTGGAGGCAGGATCCATACATAGCTTTAAGCAGAGGTATGATAAAGCTCACGGCTCAGGGAGAGTGACCTAGTAGCGATCAGTGAAGAGGCGGGGCCAGGAGCTCGGACTCGACCCCCGCAACCTCAACTAGGTGAGTACAACTAGGTGAGTACACACACACACACACACATACACACGCACACACACACACACACACACACACACACACATACACACGCACACACATACACACACACACACATACACACACACACACACACACACACACATACACACATACACACACAGCGAGGGAAGGACACACAACGAGAACCTGCAGGAAGAAAAACAGGAGACTGAAAATATCATCAGAGAAATAGGCGAGGAAGATATGAGTGAGATTTTAAATTTTCAGGGAATTGGGGGGATGTTCTTGCAGAGGCGAAATCCGCCCGCCAAACTGACATTCAAGACAGAAATGCTGCGGAACATGATCCTGCTGAAGGATTCATCAACATGTGAGACAAGAACAGAACGACAGCAGCTGAGGGAAAGGACACAGTAACGAGAGGGGCTAAGAAGAGAGACATGGATGGAGTCAGCGGAGGACAACTGGAGTAGGGCAAAGCAACATGCTCAAGCACACGCAGAACCGCCCCCAGTACCCCACAGACAAACATGCTATCCCAACAAAAACCACAATCCATACTTACAGCCCCTACTCCACACTTTGCTGCAGAATCCCACAGCACACTGCCAAGTCCCACGCCCTCACAGATCCCCAAGAACACAGTGTTGGAGAGGAAACTGAAGGTATGGTACACCAACGCTGATGGAATGACGAATTGGCACGAAAGCGTCAAAAAGGCAACACTGGACATCATAATAGCTCTTACAAAAAACAAGCTCATAGGAATGATAACAGATGCTTTCTTTCCAATGGGCTCTCAGATCCTGGGGAAAGAGAGAGGGAATAGAGGGGGTCGAGGAGTGGCACTGCTCATTAAAAAATAATGCGATTTTGATGAGCACGAGAGAGGAGACAGAGGAGAAGCAAGAGACTGCATAATAGGAACACTTCAGTCTGGAGGTCCCAGGGTGGTAATTGCAGTGATGTATAACCCACCACAGAATAGTAGGAGGCCAAAGCAAGAGTATGATGAGAGTAATAGAGCGATGGTTGACACACTGGCTGAAGTGGTCAGAAGGGCTCATGTGAGCAGGGCAAAGCTGCTGAATACGGGTGACTTCAATCATGAGGAAATCGACTGGGAGAACCTGAAGCCACATGGGGGCCCAGAAACGTGGAGGACTAAAATGATGGAGATGGTACTGGGAAACCTCATGTACCAACATGTAAGGGACACTACCAGAGAGAGAGGAGAGGATGAACCAGCAAGACCGGACCTAGTATTCATCTTGATGTATGAGGTTTTCCAGTACCACATCCAGCATCTTGGCTCTCCATGTTTTGGGACCCCCATGGAGCTCCAGGTTTTCCCAGTCAATCTCCTTGTGATTGAAATCACCCATAACTAGCAACTTTGCTCCCCCCATTTGTGCTCTTCTGGCCACCTCGGCTAGTGTGTCGACCATTGCTCTGTTGCTCTCATCACATTCTTCTCTTGGCCTCCTGCAGTTCTGTGGTGGGTTGTATATTACTGCAATTATCACCTTATGTCCCTCAGACTGGATTGTTCCTACTAAGTAGTCCCTTTCGCCCATGCCATCCATTCCTTCCATTTTCTCAAAACCCCACTGGTTTTTAATGAGCAGTGCAACTCCTCCTCCCCCTCTCCTCCCTTTGTCTTTCCTGAGGATTTGATATCCTGATGGAAAGATTGCATCTGTTATTATTCTGGTGAATTTTGTTTCTGTGAGTGTTATTATGTCTGGGGATGTCTCCTTGATTCTTTCATGCCACTCCTCACACTTATTTGTTATTCCATCTGCATTTGTATACCACACCTTCAACTTCTTTTCTAAGACTGTGGTCTTGGAGGTATATTGGGGTTGGGGAAGTGGGAGACCTGATAAGGAACTATGGGTGGTTGCTGTGGGGGTGGAGTTTGTAATCCAGTGAGTGGGGGCATTGGATATAGAATGGGTGTTTTGGTTTAGAATGTTTGGTTGCATTGGGGTTGACCTGGTTGGGGGGGGGTTCTATAGGAAGTTTTGAGGGAGGCTGTATTTGATCTTCTTCCTGGGTCTGGGATCTCCTGTCTGTCTCCTCCATCCCCTCTCTTTCCTCCTTTCACCTTTGTACCATCTCTCTCAGTTTCTGCCTTTCTTCTCGTGTTCTGTCGCGGTCGAGATACACCTTCCAGTATGCCGGCATGTCCCTTAATCTTGCTTTCTCCTGCAGGATCCTGTTCCGAGTCGATTCTGCCTTGAAAGTCACTTTCACTGGCCGGGTTCTTCTTCTTGTAAACCCCCCTATTCTTCGAAAAATTTTCAGCTGGGTCATGCCATTTTCTCCTATTGCTTTTATGATGTTTTCAATTGTTTTTTTTTTCCTTGTTTTCTTGTTTCATATGTTTCCCCTTCAACTTCCTGGAGCTCATACACAAAGACTGACCTCTCCCTTTCATTCTCCCACTGCGTATCCTTGTGTATCCACTCATTCAATTTAATTTCTTCCATTGCAGCTTTCCTTTCTTCAGTTTCACTATCTATTGTACTTGGTCTCATTGGCCTGTCATTTTCCCTTCTCGCCTTTCCCTGGGCTCTGCGTGTGTGTGTGTATGTATGTGTGTGTGTGCGTGTGTGTGTGTGTGTGTGTGTGTGTGTGTGTGTGTGTGTGTGTGTGTGTGTGTGTGTGTGTGTCTATGTGTTCGTGTGTGCGTGTGTGTGTGTGTGTGTGTGTGTGTGTGTGTGTGTGTGTGTGTGTGTGTGTGTGTGTGTGTGTGTGGTGTGTGTGTGTGTGTGTGTGTGTGTGTGTGTGTGTGTGTGTGTGTGTGTGTGTGTGTCTATGTGTCGTGTGTGTGTGTGTGTGTGTGTGTGTGTCTGATGTGTGTGTGTGTGTGTGTGTGTGTGTGTGTGTGTCTATGTGTTGTGTGTGTGTGTGTGTGTGTGTGTGTGTGTGTGTGTGTGTGTGTGTGTGTGTGTGTGTGTGTGTGTGTGTGTGTGTGTGTCTATGTGTTCGGTGTGTGTGTGCAAACAAAACTCTAGGCTTTTCGTACTGCACTCACTGCATCATCAGGAGCTTGCAATGTTGCAGAAAAGAAGAAAAGTTCAAACCAACACTTTCAGAGGAAGCGTTTTTGTTCCCTCTATCTAAAACTCTCTATCTGAACGTGTTTGCTTGGGTTTCATGCTCTTTTCTGCAACATTACACGCTCCTGATGATGTGTTGATTGCAACACGAAAGGCTACAGCTATCATTCATCTCCCACCTGGTTGTTATACATCTTGTATCGCTTTTTCTTTGCGTATATGTGTGAATGTATGTATGTATGTATGTATGTTTATTATATCTTTATATTTGTTTTTGAGGGGAGAGAGCTCCATCTCTTGGACCTTCCCTTTTTAACTACTGATCGTTTGATTTGAGGATTTCTTAATCATTAATTTTGCCATGCACTTGCTGTCACACTCTCAGCCCTGAGACACTTTCTTTGAAAATTATGTAAATATCATTACCATTTATATTGCAAACCATACAAGTACCTGCTTTGTTAACCATCGAAAAACCTGCTTAGAGATCACTCTAACGTGTAAAACACTCTCTTAATGTGCCGTTTAATGAGCTGTAATATCCTATCGAGGGCTCCCGGAGAAATGGGCGACGGACATTTGGCCGACAGACATTTCACCGACGGACATTTGCCCGAACGGACATTGTACCGAACGGACGAAATGGTATTCATCACTTAACCTAACCTAATTTTCCGTTCTGTGAAATGTCCGTTCGGCCAAGTGTCCGTCGGTCATCTGTCCGGTCACGCTTAGTGAGATATGTAAATCCTCGATATTTGACGCACTTGTCTTTCTTGTCTCCCTCAGTTCACTTCCCCAAGTAACCGACACGACCACACGCTGCAAGAAATGACGGATTTAAAGGAAGGCACAGCAGAGGAAGATATTGAAACAGATATCCCAAGAACAGAAGCAAAACACAGAAAGTTCCAACAGTTAAGAACAGAAGTTATCACTGTTGATGGTCCTTACAAACAGAAGACTCATCAGATGACCGGAGGTTAGTGTCGGACGAGGGTGTCTGTGTACCCTGCGAAGAACGAACCAGGTATACAACAATCAGGATCCTAGCGGACTAACAACAGACGTCTCGAGTCACCGACGCTTACGGGAGTTGGGTGGACGACCTTCTTGCTTCACTTTCGATTACTCTGTCCTTCTCAATGCTTCGTTCATCTCTATATCTCGCCTCTCCTTCCTAATCCTTCCTCACTCTCTTCTTTCTTTTCTTCTTCGTCTTCTTCTTCTTCTTCTCTTCTTCTTCTTCTTCTTCTTCTTCTTCGTACTTCTTATTCTCCTTATCTTCACCTCCTCTCATTACTCTTCCCTTGCTGCCTCGTCCCTTCCCATAAGTCTGCGGCTGATGCTGAATGGATGATTTTATCGACAAGGAGATCGGGTGAGCTTCTTACTGCAAGGTTTATATTCCCCCTCGAAGACGCTTCCCAGACAGGTATTTCGAACTCGTTTGTTGTAACTATTGACTTCCGTGGAAAACACTTCAAACAATTTATTTTGCCTGGCTTTGGATACTGTTGAAATGCCTCACTGCATGTCTGAAACTTGCCATCTCTTTTTAGAAATTAAAACATGTAATCGATTCAATAACCATAATTGCTAGTCATCGGAATGGTTTTTTTTTGTTTTTTTTCTCTCCATTATTTTTTGATAATTTTTATCATAGTTTCCCTTTTGGTCCAAGGAAAAAGACTGTGATGAAGGTAGACTGTTCTATATATTTATGTGATTACAAGGCACGTAAGTTTTATTGTATAATAGTCGTTAAGGGGTAGGGGGTATGGGGGGGGAGACCACCTGCCCAACCTGCCCCACAGAACCCTGAACACCTGCCCCAGCCCCCTGACCCAGAACCTGATCCTGCACACTGAACCAGCGGGCACCGGTCTCATGGATTGGAAGAATCTATCGGCGGGGCCTACTATCGTCTAGGGGGGGCCGGAAGGTTTACTATGTTGTGTGGTGGTTTATCGGTTAGTGAATGGGTGTGGTGGTCGTTGTTGTTGTTGTAGGAGGTGGGGCGTCTGGTGGTTTGTGGTTTTTGGAGTGTGGATGGTGGTGTATTGGGGTGTTCTGGTGGGTTGGGATGGGTGGGGGGGTGTCATATAAGGTGGCTAGTAGTAGTAGTAGTAGGCCATATGTCTAGTAGTAGTAGTAGTAGTAATAATAGTAGTAGTAGTAGTAGTAGTAGATAGTATAATAGTAGTACATAATCGTAGAAGATAGTAGTAGTAATAATAGTAGTCATAATGTAGTGTAGTAGAGATAATAATAGTATTAGTAGTTGTAGTATACCACTCGTAGTAATAATCAAGTAGTAGTAGTACTAATGTAGTATAATAGTAGTACGTAGTAGGTAGTCGTAGTAATAATGTTGTGTAGTGTAGTAAGTCGTAGCTAATAATCGTAGTAACTGTAGTAGTCGTCGTATTAATCATAGGTAGTAATAATAGTAGTAGTAGTAGGAAGTAATCTAGTAGTAGTAGTAGGAGTCGTAGTGTCGTCGTAATACTCGTAGTAAATCATAGTAGTGTAGTAGTAGTAAATAATAATGTAGTGTAGTAGTAGGGTAATAATAGCGTAGTAGTATTAGTGTAGTAGTCGTAGTAATAATAGTAGTAATGTAGTAGTAGTAAGTAGTAAATAATAGTAATAGGTAGTAGTAGTATAATCGAGTAGTTTGTAGTACGTGTAGTAGTAGTAGTAGTAGGGAATAATAGTATGTATTAAATGTAGTAGTAGTAGTAGACAATACAGAGGTAGTAGTAGTAGTAGTAGTGGTAGTAGTATTAGGTTATAGTAGTAAGAGTAGTAGAAGGTATTAGTGTAGTAGTAGTAGTTAGTAGTTACGTATCCTAAGATGGTTAGTAGTAGTATTAGTAGTGTAGTAGTAGGTAGTAGTTAATAAAGTGTATTAGTCGGTAAGAGTAGTGTAGTAGTATAGTAGCTAGTTAGTATGGAGTAGTAGTATTGTAGTAAGTAGTTGTATGATTAGTAGTAGGTAGTAGTAGTAGTAATAGGGAGTAGTAGTAGTTGCTATAATAGTAGTAGTAGTAGTTATTAGTACGTAGTAGTACCGAGTAGTGTAGTAGTAGTATTAGAAGTGTAGTAGTAGTAGTATTATTAGTAGTATAGTTTGTGTAGGTTGTAAATAATAGTATAGGTAGTAGTAGTAAATATTTAGTAGTTGTAGTAGTAGTATAGTAATAATCAGTAGCATAGTAGTAGGTAGTAAGAATAGTAGTAACTAATAGTAGAGGTAGTAGTAGTAGTAGTATTAGTAGGTAGTATGAAGTAAGGTATTAGTAGGGTTCGGTAGTAGTAGTAGTAGTCGTTGGGTAAATAGTAAGTAATAATAGTTGTAGTAGGGTTGGATCGTAAATCATATGTAGTAATAAGAGAGCGTAGCTTAGTCGGGTTGTCGGACTAATAGTAGTGCATCATAATTGTAGTAGTAGTAGTAATAAGATTAGTAAATAAAACGTAGTATGTAGTAAGTAGTAGTAGTAGTAAGTAATAGTAGTTGTAGTTCGTAATCATAGTGTTAATGATACGTAGTAGGAGTAGTAGTAGTAATATATAGTTTGTATGTAGTGTGATAATAATAGTAGTAGTGGATAATTAAAGTTTCGGAATCAAATAGTAGTAGGTGTTCGTAAGTATTAATAGTAGTAGGTGTAGTAGTTGTTAGTATAATAGTGGTCGTAGTAGTAATAATAATAGTCGAATAATAATAGTAGTAGTAGTAGTAGTAATAGTAGGTAGTAGTAGTCATTAGTAGTTTAGTAGTCGTGTGTAATCATAGTAGGTAATTACTAGTAGTAAGTGTAGGTAGAATAATAGTAGTAATTTTTTACAGAAGTAGTAGTAGTAGCTAGTAATAATAGTAGTAATAATAATAAAGTAGCGTAGTAGCTAATAATATGTAGTAATACTAGTAGTACGAGTAGGTAGTAATATAGTAGTAGTAGTAGTACTTTAATGTAGTAATAATTGTAGTAGTAGTACGTAGTAGTAGTAATAATAGTTAGTAGCTAGTAGTAGTAATAATAGTAGTGTTGTAGTAGTAGTTAGTAATAATATTAGTATAATGTAGTAGGTAGTAGTAGTAGTAGTAATATAGTAGTAGTAGTTAGTAGGAGTTAATAATAGTAGTAATCATCGTAGTAGTAGTGTAATAATAGTAGTAATAATAGTAGTGTAGTAGTAAGTAGTTAATAATAGGTAGTAGTAGGAAGTAGCGTAGTAGTAATAATTCGTAGCTAGATCGGTTAGTAGTAAGTTTAAAATAGGTAGTAAGTAATAGTAGTAGTAGTAGTAGTAGTAGTAATCGTAGTAGCTAGTACGTATTCAGTAGGATAGGTTAGAAGTAGTAATAGTAAGTAATAATGTAGTTAGGTTAGTAGTAAGTTGTAGTAAATAATAGATAGTAATTAAGTAGTTAGTGTATAAGTAGTTAATTAATTGTGTAATAATAATAGTAGTTAGTCAGGATAGAGTAATAATATTAGTAATAATAGTAGTGTAGTCGTAGTAATAATAATAGGAGTCAGTAGGTAGTAGGTAATTAATAGGTCTGTATTAAACTAAGTAGTAGATAAAGGAGTCGTGTAGTAATAATAGTAGTAGCTAGTAGTAGTAAAATAGTAGGTAAATAATTAGTAGGAGGACGTAGTAGTAATAATAAGTAGTACACTAAATAAGTAGTAAGTGTAGTAAGTAAAATGTAAGTAAGGAATAGTAGTAGTGTAGTAGTAGTAATATAATAGTAGTAATAGTGTAGTAGTAGTGTAGTAGTAATAACTGTTAGTAGTAATATGGTAGTCGATAGTAGCTAGTTAGGTATAATTAATAGTAGTAATATAGTTAGTAGTATGTAGTAAGTAAATTAATCGTACGGGTAAATAATAGTATAGTAGTGTAATAAAATACGTAGTTATATAGTAAGGTGTTGTCGTAGTAGTAATAATAGTAGTAATAATAGTTAGTTAGCTAGTAGTAGTAATAAATAGTAGTTAATAATAGTAGTAGTAGTAGTCGGGTAATAATATAGTAGTAAAATAGTAGTAGTAGTAGTAGTAATAATAGTAGTTAGTAGTGCAGTTAAATAATAGTAGTAGTAGTCGTAGTAATGAAGAACTAGATAGTAGCTGTGGTAGTAGTCGTAGTAGTAATAATAGTAGTTAGTAGTAGTAATAATAGGAGGTAGTAAGATAGTAATAATGTCGTAGTAGTAGTTATCAGTAGTAGTTAGTAAGGAGAGTGTCGTACTAGTAAGTAGTCAGTAGTGTAGTAATAGTCGTAGGAGGGGCTCGTAATAGTAGTCGTAGTAGTAAGAACGTATGTAGGAGCCGTAGTTAATATGTAGTATGAGAGGAGTATGTCATAGTCGTAGTAGTATAGTAGTATCTAGTGAGTAGGGTAGTAATAGTCGTAGTTACAGCGGGAGTTAGTACTAGGTAGGCGTAGTAGTTATTAATAATAGGAAGTAATATCAGAGTCGTAGTAATAATAGTAGTAGTAGTAGTAGTAGTAGGAGTAGAATAATAGGTGGTAGTAGTAGGAGTGCGTAATAACTAGGTAGGTAAGTAGTAGTCAGGGGGAACGTTAGTAGTAGTGTAGTAGGAGTTTAGTAATCGTAGTGAGGATGAGTAGTCATAGTAGTAGGAGGAGTAGTCAATAGTAGTAGTAGTAGGTAATAATAGGTAGTAATGCGTAGTAGTCGTAGGGATTATTAGGGTAGTAATAGTAGTTAAGTAGGGTAGGTAAGTAGTAGTAGTAGAGTAGTATAATAGTAGTAAGTCGTAGGAGTATTGAATAGTAGTAGAGTTGGAGTTGTTAATAGGTAGTAGTAGTGGTAGTAATAGTAGTAGGTAGGCGTAGTATTAGGTAGTATAGAGTAGTAATAGTAGAAGTAGGAGTAGTAATAGTAGAAGTAGGAGTTAGTAAATAGTAGTTGTAGTAGTAGTAGTAGTAGTAGTA